GGGGCGGGGGAGGGCGGGGGGGGAGCACCCGTTTTTTGTTTTTGTTTGTTCTCTCCTTTTCTCGTTTTTTTTTAAACGATGAGCCCCGAGCCAGGGGACTGGTTGGTTGGTTGGTTGGTTGGTTGGTTGGTTGGTTGGTTGGTTGGTTGGTTGGTTGGTTGGTTGGTCAGGGGGGGGTGGGGGGGTGGGGGGGGCCGAAGTTGTAGTTGTCCTATTCGTTTCCCTTTAAAGGAGTTAATATCAAAAAGACGCGGGTGGCTTTAAGGGGCGACCCACACCAACTATTCGCTGGGGGGAGCGGGCATTTTTGATTGCCACATGGGTTTGTGTTTTTGAAAGGGCACCCTTTCCATGTTGGTGCGAAGGAAAATCAAAAGGAACACGGGGAAAGAATAGGTTCCCCTATTTTGACACCTACGTGCTTGCATGTTCGCATGAAAGCTGGAGGAGGTCTTGGAAGAAGACAGTTGCTCTACATGTTTTTGTGTTCCAGGTTCCATGTTGATTTGTGGGAGTAGAGTGCCAGCTGCGGGGATTTTCGGATTTGCCTCATCTGAAATACGCCCAAAAGCACCCGCCCAAACCTGGAGGTTGCGGGTGCCCTGGGCGGGTCTGCTGGTGCTGGCCGTTCCCTTGGCAGCCTTCGTGGAGCTGGCGCTCGCCTTTTTTTTTTGGGGGGGGGTTTGGGGGGGAGAGGGAGGGGGGGGGTGAGGGGGGGAGGGGGGGAAGTGGAGCCACGGCCAATTCTGCGACTTTGTCGTATTTTAAGCCGAGGTCCCTCGACAGTACATTCCGCTAAAACAGGTTCGGGCTCCGCAACATTTGCCCAGACCAGCTTGTTGTTTGTGTTTTCTCGGGTTGGGTGGGACATTGCTTGAACATCTCAAGTCCAAAGAAGGTGTTGTTGTTCTCCCCCGTGAACGTTCATTTCGGGAGGTCAGCCCTTAGGTTGTGTGCCTGGAGGCTGCCGCACAAACCATGTCCCAAGTCTTGGAAAAGCAAAGCTGCAAATGCCGGCAAGCCCCCGAGAAGGGCGGGTTTTTCGCACCTCGAGAACCGGGGTGGTTTTCCGGGTACGTCTAATCACACTCTGTGACGAATTTAGTTGGTGCCCCAACCCTCAACTCCCCCATTCCCATTACTTTGGGGGGGGTCATCATTCCAGGGTTTCTTAGGTGTGCGAAAGGGATGTCGTCCAACCGTATTTGCCACTAAACGGGGCCAGGAAGATTGACCAACCCCCATCTGGGCCAAGTCCCTGGCGACCAAAAAAGAGGTGCAGCAGCCGGTGGTGGCGGTGGCCAACGCGGATGGGGTCAGCGCCAAGTGGGCCACACGAGAGAAGACGGAGGAGAGAAGGGCCAAATGCGGGGAAAGAGTGGGTCCCAAGGATACATGTGTGTGTGTGTCTTTTTCTGAGCGAACCCCCCGCCACAAGGAAAAGGCGGTGGGCCTACTGCCGTTCCTTTAAAACCACGCAGTTTTAGAGGATCTGACAATTCTCGTTAAGCAGTTGCCGCGCGCTTCTCTTTTGTGTTCCAGAGATACACTTCTGAGCATCTAGACCCGGCGCAAGAACCGAATCCCAAGTCTCGTAAACAAGCTGCATCATCTTAGGTTTCCAGCGGCTTGTTCGAAGAGGAAAGGGGCCATGTGCTGTGCTACCTCAGCCTTTGCCTCCACCAAAAAATCAGTTCCGTTTGATTCTTGTGATTTAGTGAGCTCCAAGATGATTTCAGTTTAGAGATCCCGGGTGTGTGCCAAATCTTCAGTCTGGGAATGTGTCAAAATAGGGCTTTGGACCCCAAGATGGCAGTTTTCAAAAGGAGGCCATACGGGACTTGGCAGGTTTTCTGGACAGGCAACCCTTTCAATGGGCGGTTGGTTTCCTTGACTTGAGCCCAAACTTGGCTGCCAGTTGCTTTGAGTCTTTAGCCTTTCGGTTTTCCAAAATCATTTCTTTGCTCTTATCACTAATTTGCCAACAGTTCCTATGGGGCCACACCACAGGAAGTCGTCACTGGGTTTCGTTTTTTGGCCTCTCAGGAGGCGGAGAAGCCGCAGGCTGCCAAGGCGAAGGAGGCGCCGGAGGATTGGCGTGGGCACGCGATGCCCGGTGGCAAGTGGCGCGATCGCGCCGCGGCGCCGAGCACCCCCGTTTTTCTCCTCGTCCGGTCCATTCATTTTTAGGACTTGGCTCCGAGATCAACCGCGCAACAGCACTCAGCTATGACGTGAAACAGCCCGCCGCTTGCTTTCTGCGCGGTGTTTTCTTTGGTGGGTCCTCCCCCTCCCCCCCCTCCCCCCGCGCATCGACTTTTTCCAGGGCCTTCCTTCGGGCATTCCTGAGTTTCGGGTTTTCGATGGGTTTGGGTTTCAATCTCTGGAAGCTTTTGAACATCCACAGCCGTGACAAGCCAAGCTGTGCGGAAGCTGAACGGATCGAACATGTTGAAAATCCAGGCAGCCGTGAACGGATCCAAACAAATCCGAGGATGGCCATCCGTTCCTGGAGTCGTTGGATCTTGCTCGCCCTTTGGCTCTTTGCGAACTTTGCCTTGGGAGCCGCGCCTCGGACCTTTGAACGCCGGGAACCCCCCGGGGCGGAAACGGCGCGGAAGCCGCGCGGAAGAGGCGGAAGGGAGAGGGGTGGGAGGTCTTAAAATAGGTCCCCGGAATGTGGGTTTCCGGAAACCCTCACTCCATGTCCCACTTTCGGGTCCAAGCGAATGCCAGGTTTGGGGGTCTTCGGGGTTTAGTTTGGATGAAGAAAAACCACCTTGCGGATGAAGAGTGGGACAACAGTCCCCCGCCCGTTTTGGGCAGCAGCTGACAAGCATGAGACCCAAAAGAACCTTGGTGCTCGTGCGCCAAATCCACGGCCAAGCGGCGCTTTTGTTTTCCTCGATCGCGCCGTTCCGGCCTGCTTATTGATAGCAAAGGCAGCAATCCAAAAGGTGATCATTTCTGTCATTGCAAGCCGTGGCAACCAATAAGACAATCACCTTCTATTAGTTTGGTTTTTTGTTGGGGCTCTCAATCTTGTTCTAAAAGCACTAGCTTTGGAAGGGGTCCCAAATATGTTCAAATCTGTATTTCCAGGGATGAGACTGTCACCTGCGCCTTTCTCCTCATTCTTTGGATGGGGTGTCTCAAAGTTGGGCACCCCCCCAACCAACAACAAGAAAAACCACAAGAGGCGATCTTTGTTCATTCGCCGCAGTTCCAGGCCAAAAAGCAAACCCACACACACACATGTCCATCCAGGAAATTCTGGTAAACACAACAATCGTCAGACCCTCCCCCCCAAAAAAAAACTCAAAAAGGAAAAAAGAAGAAGAACAAAACAAGATCACCAACCCCCCCCCCCCCAAAGAAAAAGGAAAAAAGAAGAAGAAAAGCAAGATCACCACCCCCCCCCCCCAAAAAAAAAAAAAAAGGAAAAAGAAGAAGAAACACGCAAGATCACCAACCCCCCCTTCAAACAAAAAAAAGAAGGAAACAAGAAGAAGAACAAAGCAAGATCACCACCCCCCCCCAAAAAAAAAAAGAAGAAGAAGAAGCACAAAAACAAAAGGAAACAGAAGAAAAAGCAAGATCACCACCCCCCCCCCCAAAAAAAAAAAGGAAGAAGAAAGAAACAGAAAAGGAAAAGGAAAGAAGAAGAAGAAACAAACAAGATCACCAACCCCCCCCCCCCCAAAAAAAAAACAAGAAAACAAGAAGAAGAAGAAGAAAGAAACAGAAAAGGAAAAGGAAAAAAGAAGAAGAAACAACCAAGATCATCAACCCCCCCCCTCCCAAAATAAAAGAACAAAAAGAAGAGGAAAAAGAAGAAGAAACAAACAAGATCACCAAGGTGCCTTTGAGCCTGGGTTATGCTGGGCTGGCGGGCTCCGTGGTGGCCTCGATGCTGGTGACCAACCTGCTGCCTGGCTCCATGAGGCCCCGGAAATTTGGGTGCCCGTCCTGAAACCAAAGGGGGTGTCGTTAGACGGTGCCATGTTTCCCAACCACTTTTGGAGAGTGGTTGGGTATGGGTCAAGATAAAACCAGGAATTGGACCGCAGGTTTTACTCCATGTTTCCCAGGGTTCCATTTTGGATACCTATTTTTGACCTAACGACGGTGCGGTTTCTCTAAAACCACAAAAGGGGCGACCGTCAAAACAGATGTACCCATCTGGGTATGTGTCAAATGGAGACCCGAAACTGGTGGTTGTACCTTTTGGCTTCCGTCTCCCCACTTTTGGAGGTTGGTTCAGTAGGGGGTTTTGGGCGCGGCATGGGGGGTTCGATTCTCGTTCGGATGCACGCTTTGCCGTTTGGCTGGACCGGACTGGCCCTGATGCATGCTTTTCCGGATGTTCCTCAGGCATTGGGGGGGGGGATCCCTGCGAAGACAACTTGTCGAGCGGCTGGTCAGAAGCGCAGCTTAGGCGTAGCTAGGCGCAGCTTAGCAAACGGGTGCTAGCTTTCGGACCGTCCTCTGCCAAGCGCTTTGCGTTGTGGTTTCCCTTGCTCCAAATCCATCGGCAGTTTCCCTTACGGATGAGAATGAGGGACCTACCTGTGGGTGATGGAGGTTTGTGGGGGGTAGCTTAGGAACCCCTCCATTTTGAACAACCCAAGGCTGCTGCATGTGCTGCTCGCACTGGTCTACTCCCTTTGGCTCGCCTTCTTCCGTGCCCGGTCAAGGGCTTTCGGGGAAAGGCGTGCAGAATGTGGTGCCTAGCGGCGCAGGGTTTCTTTTTCCTAAGGCGAATGTGAAGTGTGCTAAGTTTTGTTTACACCGAAAGCACGGCAAAGGCCTCGCGGTGTAACGCATGCTAAGCTTGTTAGCAGGCCAAAAGCACTTAGCACCAAAGGCATGAACATAATTCACGTGTGCTAATTTGTTTAGCACTGAATTCAAGTCAAATTCCTGCCCCTTTAAATTTCGAGCGTGCTATTTACTAGCACCGCAAGAAATGTGCCCAAAGGGAATCTTCAATTCGCACAGTCCAGGTTTCAAGAACTGCAGGGCGAATTGGCACCTTGGCGCAGGCAACAGTTGAAATTGATTTCCTTCAGGGCAAAGAGCTCCGAGCTCACGTCGGGATCGCTCCAGTTTTGGGTCTCGGGCTGACATGGCACGAAGTCAAACCCATGGCCAGCATCTTTTGACAGACCCTGCTGGGGGCCCATGAGTCAGCCACTCAATTGCGAAGTGGATGTCAGGGCTCTTTTTCGGACCTCCGTCCGGTGATCATTTCTTCTGCATGACCCGTTTTTCGGCCAGAACAGTATTGGCCGGCCTCGTTTTCCGACGTTTTCCGTTTTCGCCCGACCCTGCAATGCCAGATGCACAATGCTCTCGGCCCAAGAACAATTGCGGAGGAAGGGCCTTCCATACCTTCTAAGCTGTAAAGACTTTCCCGGGGTGACCCACCCTCCGACCACCACACGGTGCGGCGACAGAGCGCTGAAAATTGGGCGGGGAGTTGCTGCGTTGCGCGGCATGCGTCTTGCCACCTGGCTGCCATGGCGGTTTGACCAGTTGGCCGTTTGACGCGTTTTTCATTCTTCTCATCCTGAACTTATGCAGAGCGCTGTTGGGCCCCAATGGATTTTAGCCTTGGGCTGAGACTGGATCTAGAATGAACATTCAAGTTCCCATCCTGCTTGCGCTTCACAGGACGTTGCTTGCCTGGGGTACCTGCCACTGTACCTGCCAGCTGCAATCCTCGCCATCAATCCTCCTAAGCTTCCAAGCAAGCAGCACGCCTTATCACACCTCCAATGCTGGAGATGCAGCCAAAAGGCTGTGTGCCTGGCTTCCCTTTGAACCAGCCAAACAAATGCGTACTCAATTCTCAAGCAAGACAGCCAGACTCCGGTGCCGAACTTTTCTTTTGTGGCGAGGATAGCCCAGTGGCTTCCGGGAAAGACAACGACACCAGGCAATGCAGGCAGCAACACTGGGTTTGATACAGCAGGGTGGGCAAGCCAAGGTGTGTGAGCCTCAGAATGACTTGGATGCCAAAGAGTGTGGTAAGGAACAAAACAGTAGGTGAGCAAAGAAAGGCATGCTGCCGCTGCATCCAAATGCAGGTGATGCATCATGGTTTCAGTTTGGGCACATGTTGGAGAGAACCATGGCAAACGTGAAACAAATTGGAGTCTTCATTTGAAAAAAGAAACACACGAGGGATCATGCTTGTTGGAGCAAGCCCATTTCTGTATCTCGGAAAAGGGGCTCCTCACGCATCTTTTTCCCTTGGGCCTTGGGGCAGCTGTGGCCAAAGTTGCAGGCTGTCGCGACGGTTCCTTCTGCTCATCTTTGGGCTTGCAGAAAGTTGTCTCACCTCAAGCGCCGGTAGTTCGATGGCCGCACGCGCAGGCCCGAAGAACCGGTCAATGTGGAAGGGAACCGTTGGAAACAATCTGGCCGCCTGGCCCTTTGGTTGTCGACCCTGAGCTGATCTGGAAAAACTATGGGCCCGGCTAGAACGATCCCTGCAAGGGTGCGGAATCTCGGGATGCCCCAGCCAGGCAGAGAGTGAGTGTTCCTTTAACAAGGGGATTTCACATGTTGTTCAATTTTTTTGCTGAGGTATTCTTTGTTTCTAACTTCGCGAATCCACGGTTTGGGGCTTTTTTCCAAAGCTTTGAGGGATTAAGCTGGTTGAGAATTGCGGATGCTGTGCGCCCCCGTTCCGTTTCTTCCTCTCCCTGCCCTTCCTTTCCGTACTTCATGAGTTTTCAACGGGATGATCTGACTCCTCCGATTCTCTTTGTTTCATCCGCTTCCGACCTCCCCCCCCCCCCCATGTCCCCCCCTCCCCCCGTGCCTTGGGTGCTTGGCCCCCATGTGGCGAATCCCATCAGGCTGATCAGATGTGTCCACTCATTGGATTGATTGGGCGGATCGGACCTTTCGGATGCCCCGGGCGCATCGGATTGAGCGGACTCATCGGACGCTCGGAAAGGGGCGAGCGTTCTTCGGACGCTCATTTGCACTTACCCTCTGGTTTATGGTTGAGTCCAACAAAGGCGTCCCCAATGGCAGGCTCATTTGCACTCAGCCGGGCACTCTGAGTGGCTGGGTTGATCAGGTTCTCGGACCCCGAACCCTGGGGCCTCGGACCTGTCGGACAGGATTGAGGCAGTTTCGGGTTCTCGTTGTTCGTTGCAGATCGGACTCAGCGCACGGTCTTCTTGGATTATCCAGACTCATCGGACTCATCGCCCTCAGGCTGCTCACGTTTGTCAGACAGGACTCGCCGGCTCACTGAGCTCCTCAGATTGGATTGCTCGGGCAGATCAGTTGGGCAGGATTATCGGACCCCGCGGGCTGATCGGACACACCAGACCCCGCGGACTGATCGGACACATTGGTCTTGTCGGACTCATTGGACTTCTAGATTGGGGCTGCGTCATCGACCCTGCGGCGCGCACTATCGTACTCGTCGGACGGACCGTGCGGGCTGCTCAGACACAGATGATTGATCCATCGGGCTACTTGGATGAATCGGATCGGACTCATCAGACTTATCGCGCTGGATTGGGGCCGGATCGGGTTGGACTGCTCATCAGGCTCGTCGCGCATCTGGATTGAGGCTGGGTTGTCGGATTGTGTGGATCTTGTTGTTGCCTAGCGCAACCAGCGCGGCCAACATCATCAGCATCTCCAAGCAGGAACAATGAGCCACCCCGGCCGAAGAACTCCTACAGGCGCCAACATTGGATGGGGGTTGTTCACTTGGATCCGCTGCAGGGAAAGCTCCACCGCGCATTCAGCTCGGGCCTGAGAAGATCGATCGGCGGATCGGACACCTGGGACGAACTGGATGGATGATTCGCTTGGCGGCTCAAGGATCACGAAAAGATGAGACGTGGAAGCAGTGGAGGAACTTTGAGCCTCTTTTCTGCGAGCTTATGTGTCCCTTTTCCCCTCCCCCCCTCTCCCCAGTGGCTTGCCATGACCGGCGGGCAACGGGCAGCGTCAGTTTGATCCCGCCTGCTGTGATTCTTTCTCGCTGTCGAATATTATCAGGTAACCCTTGTGGTTCCTATGGGGTGCAAGTGGTCTCGCCCACCCCTCCCAAATTACCGGGCCCCAAACAACCAAATAGAGGGAAACCTTTGGGATTGGTGGTTTGGATTGGGATTTGAATTTGACCTCTCCGGGGGTCTTGTGGAGGGACGCAATTCGGAGTGTCTTTGGGAAAAGGTGACCAGCGGCCCCGCCGGAAACCGAAACCCGAGCCCCGGCGCCAGGCGCCGGCACTGCGGCGCCAGCCATTCACCGGGTGCTGCAGGGCTTGCCCCGTGACACCCAGCGCCTCAAGCGGAAGCTTGCGGTGTGGTGGTCAACAAATTGGGTGTCCCCAAAACTAGTTGCCCTACCAGAAACTGGAAACTTGGACTAAAGAACGCCTGTGGTGGTGAATTTTGACCCATACCTAGATGGGGGCAGAGCGCCAAAACTTACCCAACCCAAACCCGGAATTTCCCAAGATGTTCTCTAGGGTGTAGACATCTCAGAAGGCAGTTTTCTGCCTTGCTTAATTGGATATGGAAACCTCCGAAAGTCGGGGGGTTTCTGGTGGTGGTTTAAGCATCGCTAGTTTTAGATTCATCACCAGGTTGAAATGTTCAAGGCATGGGACCGAAGCAAGTGACCAACACTGCAAAGAGTACCTTCGCACAGCGCCAGGGTTGTGGGATCAAGGGGTTTTTCCCCACTTCTGTGACACAAGGGAATCTCCGCCTTTATGTCGGGGGTTAGTCTGTGGGAAACCCTTTTGTTGTATCACAGAAGTGGTCATTTCCCACAGCCCTGCGCAGCGACGGGCAGCAAGTACAACTTGGTTGGGTCCGCAGCACGGTCTAACCCACACCAAATCTCTCATTCAGACAAGGGGGGGGGGGGGAAGGATCCTGACATTTCCCTGTGAAACATGATTTTTGTTTGGATTGAACTGATTTGCCTTTGGTCGGAGTGTCTAAAGAGGAACTCTAGGGAACTCGGGGGTTTTCGCCGTCACATGTTTTTTTGGGGGTTTCGCAAGTTTAAGCTGGGGATTTGCAATAAACACCTGGAAGTTTGCAGGGAACTCGTGCGCCATCATTAAATTTGTTTCGCAAGTTCACCCAGCTGGTTTCATGACCATGAAGGTCCCTTCAGGATTCCTAAAATTCAGCTTGGTGAAAGTGATAGCCCTCCAATGGAAGGGCCAGAGTCGCCAACCGTAGCCTTCCCACTGTCTGCTTCCATGTGCGGTGTCCCTTTGGATGCCCAGCAAATTTGTTCTCGACCCCGGCCGAAGGGACGTCGCGGGTTGCGCACGTGAGGGACGGAATCGTGTTTGTTGAACGTTGAACCAACCCTATGAAACGGTTGATGTTCGGAGGTTCCTGAACGGCGGATTCATGCATATAAAGGCAGGGTAGCAGAGACGCAAGCGCGGGAGCACGTTTGCTGACATGGAACCCAACACAGCCATCATTTTGAGAGATGCTCCCCAGCAAATTCATATGGAAAGCCTTTTGCGTCATAGCCTCAAAGGAGATGCCTTCAAAGATGGTGGTGACAGGTCCCATGTTAAGTGTCAGGGGGGATGATTTTTCGGGAGACCTCTTTGTTTTGGGTGCCAGGCGTTTTTTAGTTTCTTGGGGGAGGGGGAGGGTTGGTTCCCTGGTTGCATCGCTCTTGGGAGAACCTGAGGCATGCCTTCATTGCCGCCTGGCTCTTCTTTTCGTGGAGGGCGGGGTTCGGTTAGGCTTAGGGTGGGGTGGGGTGGGGCGGGCTTGGGTTTTCCTTCAACTACACGAGGCACGTTTCTTCCCCATGGCCGGAGGTCTTGGAAAAGGTATCGCTTCATGGTGAAAACCAGCACCCAAAAGAAGTCTGACCTCGAAGGTGCGCTGAACATAAGCGCAGCCATGGGGACAGAATCAGAAGTTTGGACGCCTTTTGGAGCTTGTTTCGTGTTCCTGGGAAGACGCTCTCGGCT